GTTGAACGTTAACCATTTCCTTTTGGTACAGTGACTCTGTGTATTCCTTCCATCTTCTCTTGATGCTTTCTGCATCATTCAATAATTTGGCCAGAGAATCTTTCAATAATAAAAGTCAAGTCTTTAGTTTTTCTTCAGTTCACCCAGCTTGAGAAATGCTGTATGTGTTCTTCCTTTTTGATTTTCTGCTTCCAAATCTTTGCACATGTTATAATAATATTTGGCTTTATCTTCTCGAGCTGATTTGAAATTTTCTGTTTAGCTCTTAGATCTCTTCGTTTCTTCCATTTGCTTTAGCATCTCTGCGCTGGAGAGCAAGTTTCAGAGTCTCTTCTGACATCCATTTTGACCTTTTCCTTCTTTCTTGTCTTCTTAATGACTTTTTGCTCTCTTCACATATGACGTTCTTGATGTCATCCCACAACTCTTCTGGATTTCGTCTTTAGTGTTTAATGTATCAAATCTGTTCTTAAGATGATCTCTAAATTCAGGTGGGATACATTCACGGTCATATTTTGGCTCTCGTAGACTTGTTTTCATTTTATTCAGCTTCAGTTTGAATTTGCATATCAGTAATTGATGGTCTGTTCCACAGTCTGCCCCTGGACTTGTCTTTACTGATGAAATGGAGCTTTTCCACCTTCTCTTTCCACAGATGTAGTCAATTTGATTTCTATGTGTTCCATCTGGCAATGTCCATGTATATAGTCATCTGTTATGCTGTCTAAGTAAGGTAATTGAAATGAACAAATCATTGGTTTTGCAGAATTGTATCATGCGTTCTCCAGCATCATTTCTATCACCAAGTCCAAATTTTCCAACTACTGGTCCTTCCTATTTGCTCCTAACCTTTGTATTCCAATCACCAGTATTGAGCAATACATCTTGATTGCATGTTTAATCGATTTCAGATTGAAGAAGTTGGTAGAATTCTTCTGTTTCATCCTCACTGGCTTTAGTGGTTGGTGCATAAATTTGAATAATAGTGGTATTAACTGGGCTTCCCTCTAGGTACATGGATATTATCCTATCACATACAGCATTGTACCTCATGACTGATCTGGATATGTTCTTTTTGACGATGAATGTAACACCATTCTCTTTTCACCAGAACCATCTAGACAAGATGACAGCTATTCAGTGGGGACTCTTGTTCCCCCCATACTCTTAAACTAAATTCCCTCTTGAAACCTTGTAAGCCAGTCACTTTGTGCCTTATTGCCCCCTCATTTTAGGTAGCCAGTGTCTAAGTTGCCCATTCCTATCTACCCTGTGTACAGAATAGATAGCATTGAAACGATTTGAAGACACTCCCTCTCTATTGGTATTTAGAGTAACTACCGCTCTGAGTATAGGTCAGGTTCATCATGAAGATGTATCTTCTGTCACTGTAGCTGTTTCAGTCTGCTTGTCTTTTCTCGTGGGAATGTCTCACCTCACAAGGTTGTGGCTGGGACTCAGGATTCCACCTAAGGTCCTATACTCTGTAAAGGCTTTGCATAAGGCCTATGTCACTGGGCAAGTTGTAGAACCCCTTTTAGGTATTCTACTCAGTGTAGCGTAGTGGTTACGAATCAGGCTGCGAACCTTAAGGTCAGCGGTTCGAAACTACCAGCCGCTCC